AAAAAAAAAAACGCTCACGCCTTATATTAAATCTCAATCTTACCTCCAAATCATTTTTGAAAAACCATATGCAAAATTTTCTCAAAACATAAATGTTGTTTTTTAACAAGTTTTTGTGGAAAGTTTTTCAAGTGTTAAACTATCTGAGAAAGAGGCGTATTATTTCTGAAAAGTGCTATTCTGCGCTTTCTCATATGAAAAGTTCTTGTTGCTCCATTCATGTCACTCTCAGCTTTTTATCTCTACAAATAATATTTTTTATGTAGTCTTTGAAACGAGATGCACATATTCATTCCTGCTGCTTCCTTATCAAGCTTGTCTGCAATCAATATATCGATTATCTTAAATAATAATGGTTTTTAGAAATGAATACTGTTGCAACTTCTATATTTGCATTAATTACAATAGCAGTAGTCACTACTGCGTTCCGAACACAAAGTGTGGCAGTAAAAGGAAAGCTAATGTGCGGAGATCAACCAGCACCGAATGTTCTTGTAAAATTACTCGACGAAGATCACGGTATGCATCATTTTTCCTTGTCATTTCAGCATTTAAAATGTATTAATTCCGCTTTCGAAAAGATTTTCTTTTAGGGGATCCAGATGATGTTTTAGATAATATGTATACTAAAGAAGATGGAATGTTTAGCGTTAGCGGTTTCGCATCTGAAATTACCCCAATTGATCCAGAGCTACGAATTTATCATGACTGTAATGATAACGGAAAGGTCGGTAATTGTTGTTTCTTGTATATGGAACATGAGCCATTTTATTTGTCACTTATATGCTTAATGCACAACAATAGCTCAAATTTGTATTTTTATTTTCATTGTTGCGAAACTTCCTATGATTAGCAAACTAGCAAAGTGGTTAGGATTACCTGGATTTCGACTAAAAATCAAAGTTTTGAGAGTGTAAAGCAACAAAATGCAGCAGCAGGCCAAAATAAGCAAAGCGTCCTCTAAAAAATGTTGGTGATTTTCGCTGCAAATTACAAGAAAACGACTATTGATCCACTTTGTTTAAGTTGATGTGACAGCAATATGATACAAAAGGGGCTGACAGTAGAAGCCGAGGATTTAGTGCTACTACCTCGTAAATTACTCATATCAAAGAAACAGAAATAGTTTTCAAGAAATTTTTTTAGAATATATTGCGACTAGTCAAAATTAGCTCTACTTACGTATACTGCTACTCTACTTATGCTCTACTTACGGCCTGATAAAACTCGTCAAAAATTCCAATTTCCTAGACTTACATTTGAAAAAGAAAACTGGAAGTTATCTCATATTCTCTACGTTCGAGAATATAGTCGTTTTAGCCCTGCAAACGGGAGTGGATTATTCGAATCCCAAGCAAATACATCTACTTAGGTGAAGAGCCTTCTGAAGCTCTGGACTTGGGAACGCTTAATCTAGAGGTAAGTAAACTTTTGTAAAAAAAACTTGACAAAGTATACACTACCTATTTAAAGTTTATTTGTTTTTTGTTAATTCATTTCATTTCTGAAGAACTCATGTCGAAATTAAATGGCTCCTCTTAGTGCTTCTTAATCCTTATTTTCAGTGACATTTCTTATTATAATTTATTTTAGGTCGAATTAGAAAGCGAAAATCAAGAATGTCAAGAAGAATAAGGGTGACTTGTATTTTTGGGAAATATTGTGTATTGTATGATCTTTGATGCATGATTTAACATAAACATTTATGACTTTGAATTCAAGATTATAATGCGTAATGGTTCCTTACCTAATGTTTACATAATATTGTTTCATATATTAGTTTCTTCATTCAGTTAAAGTGATTATTTGAGAGAATGAGATTTCCTCTGCAATATTCTCTTCTTCTTACTCTTTTTGGATATGTTTTTTGTGTTCCACAACAACAGATAGGAAGGCAAAACTATAGAGTGAGTGGCATTTAGCAAAAAGTATTTCTTTATGTTTGTTTTCTTGGAAATTTTAGGTGCGGGGAACTTTGATGTGTGGAACAACACCGGCAAAGGATGTGAAAGTGAAGCTAATCGATGATGATTTCGGTAAGGAGTAGTATTTGATTTTAGGACCTATAACATCTATGACGCAGCGCTCATTCTATTTTATAATAATACTTCTTCATCGGGAAACAATATTGAAGCTTTGCTTTACTGGCTGCTATGCAGACAGCTGAACCGCATCGCCTCAGCACACAAAGACAAAGCATGCCTTTGATTCAGTTGTTAGTTGCTGATTCCAGGACCTGATCCTGATGACGAATTGGACAGTGGCTATACGGATGCAAACGGTTTCTTTGAATTGGCTGGTTTCACTACAGAGCGTACCACCATAGATCCTCATTTGAAATTTTACCACGACTGTAACGATGGGATTACGGTAGATG